AACTTTGCTGGTATAAAAGAAAGATGCAGCCTTTTCATACATCAGGAAGGTACATCCACACATCAAGGACAGCTCACATTTGAACATCATCCTGCATTTTCTCATCTTTCTGATTTATTCTCACTGAACAAGGGAGGTAATATATTTTTAATTTTCTTTACTGCTAAAGAAGAACAATTACATTTTTTTTGACATTGTCTTCTCCTTCTCTCCAAAGGTTTTCTTCTCCTTCCATTCTGTCAAAGTTTTTACTTTGAAAACTGGAGTGAAATGTTGCTTAGGCAATAAGAAATCAGTACTTAGTGTTGAACTGGCTTTGTAATTAACAGAAAACAAGGTTTAGGATTGCATTACAGCTAAATGGTGATATTTCATGATTTCTGGTCAGGTCTGGTAATGCTTCATTAATAATCTTGTATTTTTATCCTGGTCCACAGTATTGCTGCCAGATGTCAAGTGTTACACAATTCATGGTGCTAACGTGTTTTAGAGTCTTTAAGTTGCTGGTTAAATATGTTAAGGAAGAACAAAGAAAAAAAAGATGTTAGTAAAGATTTCTCAGTCTTCAGTGGTTTGCTAACAGCTTACAATGTACAAGACAGCCAGAAGTGAAGCATTGGCACTTCACTGTTGCTGTGACATAGCCGTACATCACTGCTAAGCACTCTGGAAAGAAGTAAACACAGTGTGCAGAGTGTTTGGCTCTTATTGGGCACAGCATCACCACAGTCACCATACAGAGCAGCATAGAGAGATATCCCACGTTTTCGCTGAAGACAGTAAGTTATTTCCTATGGTCAGTACAAAGATGGCCCATCTAACAAAGCTCTCTGGCATGTCTGTGCAAAGACAAAGACTGCAGAATTTGAGTAGGAATTCTGGTTTCATGGTGTAGAGCATAAATATAAAGACATCCACAGGATCCCACACGCATGTGTAAAGAAGACCTGTTTGCAATCGCTGATGACAAGCTATCTTTGTTATGGTAACTGGTAATAGGATAACTTGTTTACAGAACAAGACAAGGTATTGTAAATAGTAAGGTGAGTCTTTCACTGCTGGGGAAGGTTTAAAATTGTCGTCTTTCCAAAGATCTGCTAAAACTCACACTTTACATAATCACAATAACCAAGTCATAATGTTCCAATAGCTTAAGAAAGATAATGATTAGCAGAGCAAAGTAAAAGCTTAATTTAACTTGGTTGTGAGGTGGTGTAGATATTAACTGGGTTAGCAGCATGGGCACAGTCAGAAAAGCAAATGCAGAGCAGAATAAAAACATCGGGCGAAGTTGCTGTCATACTGCTGGAGTAGAGACACTCATGTCTGGGCTTTATTGACAGGTCTTTGTTTTTAGTACGAGCCTGACTGTCTGACTCAATAGAGGAAGTGCAAAACTGCAATTTCAATTCCCTTTTTTGGTTAGTTTAATTTAAACAACTTCCCTCTGGGATTGCCTCAGACCCTTTTAATTTACCAAATCATTTTTAGAGAAATTATGACAAAGAAAGCCACAGCGTGTTCAGCAAAGAGCATGGAGTCACACAGTAGTCAGTCAGTGGCTGTGGTGTCGTTAGAGAGCCACTGGATCATCCAGACTTATCAAAAGGCTCAGGGTGATGTAGAAACGAGGTGTTTTGAAAAGTCTGTCTTTCGTCTTCTCCTGCTGGTAAATGAGCCCTTCCAGCTGGCTCCTTGCACTGGGCAATGTGTTGTCCAGCTCTGAGCCCCCAGATGGAGCAGGGCCTGAAGCTAAACTGTACTTGTGTGTTCCAGTACAGGCGAGTCTGCCAGCAGTCACACCTCAGCTGTAGTACTGAAAAGAGCACATACAGTAAATAACCTTCAAAGAAAATTCCTATTTGCTGAAGGGAGAGCTCTGATCAATTTACTCATCACAACTTCATAAATGCAACTGAGCTCAGTTCACTTCCTAAAATGTCTGGCACAATCATGTGAATGTTGATTGACATAAATGGTGTGAAGGTCCATCCTGATGTTGTGGACACAGGTGACTTTTGTCCAGGGAGCAGAGCACAGAGAGCTGGGAGCTGCCTTTCAGAAATGTGAGAGCGCTGTTTAAAGCTCCTGTGAGGCTACAGTGTTATTCACCCTTCACTGTCCTGCATGTTCTCAGTGTGGCCACATTGAATTAATTCAGTGGACATGGCCAAATCAAGCTGGCTTGGATCTGCCCTGAAAATCTAAAAGGAGGAAGGGGAGCACAAAGCTTACCATATCACAAAACCTGGATAGTACTGAGTGAGCACTGGTATGTGTTAAAGTAAAAGCCCATGGCTGAACTTATGAGAAGGCTGAAGCAGTGATGCATGCCTCACATTTAATGGGCATTACCCCAGGTTGCTGTAGCTATCCTTTGCTATACAATGCTGCATCATGCAGGCTCTCTTTTTAACACACATCTCCAAGTTTCCCATAGTAGCTAATCTCAGAAGACCACTTCTTTTACTTGGATGGGTTTTTGGTAAAAGCCATAGCAGAGAGAAGTAACCACCAGTAGCATTCAGCCTACATGCATACACACGTTTACTACTTTTTTATACTTCTTCCAAATGCTTCCTTCCAGTGCTTCCACAGTTTATTCCAGTGGGTTTTCTTCAAATTTCACCCTGGCTGCTTTTAACTCCCTTATCCTCTGTTTCTTGCCAGCATGGACTAACTTGCTGGGCAGGTGGGACTGAGGAGGTAAAGCCACCTACGCCTAGCACCCAGCCTTTGTCTCCCATTATTGCAGTCTCCTCTCCATCCTCGGTCTTTGCTGGGCTTCATATCAATTTCTTATCTCTAGTATTTGCTATTTTACTTTAAAAAGTTTTGTTGCCTCTATTGTACCTTTATAGCTCTCTGACTTGCTCAGAAACTTTGTTCCCTTCCACTTTGCTAATTCTGATGAGGCAAGGACTGCGTTCTCATCATCTCGTCTTTAGTCTCAGCATCATCATCTTGGATATGAGATTTTTCTGTTTGCTATGGGCATGGGCTTCTCTGGATTTGTTTCCTTCCTTGTCCTGAGTTCAAAGCTCTATTATATGATCAGTGCACCATAGCAATCTGACTGCTTCCTTCATCACAGTCTGTTTGATCAATGAACCAAGACCTGCTGGATGTATCTCTGGGAATTTGTATGGCAATGGAGTGTCCCTCTGTTAATCCATACAGTCTTCGTACACATGCCAGTGCTCCAAGCTCACTCAGACGATTGTATCATGCAAGTAGGTTCACACCTTGAACCACCTTTCCATCCAGATGCAAGAAGGCATTATTTGTACATTTCATCATTGTGGCAGTGTCTGCAGGGATTCTGCTGGGGAGATGCAAATTCTGAAAAGAAATAGCTTGCCAGTATATGAAAGCTGATTTCATTTAATTATGCTTTGCTCTCTTGATTTTCTACTATATTTTCTTCTCAGAGACATCAGTGCCCTTTCCAATAGCATGGCATGCTCAAATAGCCTCTACATCTAATCTCAAGATTAATGTCTTTGTTGCTGGTATTATTGTTGCTTTCACCATCACTGCATGTTTAGAAATACTTAGTTCCATAGTGGGATTCCTCCCTGGAGAATATTTATCATGAAGTAGCAACAATGGCTGGAGTGTTTGGAAGAAGAGCTCTTAACTTTTTTACCTTGCAAAGCAAGTGACTTTCAGAATCTAGAATGTTTCAAGTGTTGTCAGCCTGAAGCCTTATCCTGCCTGTCAGCCACCATGCTCTTTGGGGACAACTTCTGTCTTTAAAGCTAAGGGGTCAGGCAGCCTGCACGGGGCACAGAAACTGCTTACAAGCTCCTGTTGTGAGAGCCTGTCCTGAGGTGCTGCCAGAACACTGGATGCTGCAGGGCCTGCTGTTCAGACACAGCCCAAACGCACCCCGTTTGGCTGCTGGCTTGGCCTGGGGCTGTGACTGCAGGAGCAGGGAGACCTGCGTGATCAGATAAGCTTTCTCATAAGGCAGTTGGTGGCTGGGATCTGTGGGCTCTGTGTGCTGGGAGCGGCTTGGGACTGCTGTCCCTGGGGCAGGTAGCAGCAAGTACAGCACTGCTGCACAGCTTCAGCAAAACTGCGGGGTGGGCATGGACAGTGCAGAGCCTGAAGATGTGCCACGTAGCATATGCTTTCTTGCACAAAATCCCCGTAAAGATTTTTAAAAGTTTGAATGAAGCAAGGTGTGTTTATATCAAACCAGCTTTCTGTATTCATCTGTTGATCGGAACCCAAAAGCCAATCCACAGTGCCAGTAAAACAAAGCCTGATGGAAATCTCAGTCTGGAAGATGATGGTGACTCTGAACTTGCTGTGACTCTCCTGATGAGGCCCCTGTACCACAGAGGTAGCCCTGAAGGATGCTCCAGGGCTGTTTAAGCTCTCCTGAGCTCTCTTTTGCACCATGTCTCCTTAGGCTTCTGCCTGGAAGGAACGTGTCCCCCCTGGGACCAAGACTGGGTGAGGGCAGCCCTCCTTAATGGAAGAAATGCTTTCTTCCAACTAGGAACAGGACTATGAAAATCTGTTGGTGGGGACTTGGGCACTAAAGTGGTCAGTTTGAGGACAAATAATCTGACTCTTGGCTCAGGAAATTGTTCAAATGTGAAATTATTTTCTCTGGAATTAGTCTTACTGTGTCCTGGATTCTACAGATTCTGTTGTCTCCTCCATAGATGTTTGCTGTCTTTTCTGCACTCTACCATAAATATTAGACAGTTACAGTATTTGAAGTTTATATGCTATGGTTTGTGTTAATATTCAGAAAATATTGTTAAGGCCAGAAGGAGAGGTACATTTTTGTTATGAAAGTGGTGATGAAGTCAATTTTCTGAGGCTATAAAATGCACATCAGTGTACTACATTTTCAGTTTCTGCTCTTGGTTTTAAATTGTCCCTGTTACTTGTCCTGAATGCTGTATTAGTATGTAGCCTAGATGCTGGTACTGTACCCATTCTGAAACAGTCCTCTAAAATGTGCTTATTTGTATTTCCAGAAAGATCATGGATTGCTACAGGAAGTATGCAGCTGTCACTTTGACCATTATGTCTGTATTTCTGCATCTTCTTCATACTTTCCCAGATGGAGAATTTCTCATGCAGGGTAAGCTACTCAGTATTCAGAAATAGGGCAGTTGTAAAGAGCAGTAATTAAACTTGTTTTATAAATGTGGTCATAAATATTATTATTCTATTACATTTATTGATGCTGGGATGTGAAGGTACAATTATTTGAGATAATTTTGCTTCCTATTTCTTCTTTAAACTTGATTTCTCCAGGTCATGAGTCTCCCAGATGACAGTTTCCTCCTCTTGATGTGGTGACCTTAATCCTTGAAACATTATCAAACAGAAATGTTTCATTTTGTTGCACTTCAAAGTACACAACACCAGGAATAGCAAAACAATAATTTCTCATCTTAATGCATAGAATATATTTCTTCTGAAAGACCTCTTGTGCTGCAGCCAGGGTGAGGATGAGTTTACCGGAACAAAGCCACAGTGTGTAGTAGTGTGGCCATAGAGATCTTCATCAGCATAGCCTCCAACTCACACTTCTTCTCATAGGGTCGTATACACACTCCTCACTAACAAGGCAGGTCCCATGGATCAACACTGAGAAAGCAGTGCCTTTACCAACATCCACTCAGCAACAGTGTTAACACAACACAGTTTGATTCTGTTTGTCCTCTCTGGCCGATCAGGGCTGGGGTTTGTAGTGTTCCTTCATGTGGAGATAGCATGAGTCCTTCCAGTAGCTGGCCTTAGAACCTCTCTCTGAGCTCCTTCCCAATTCCTAGCAGGCCTGAAGATCGTGGTGTCCTACAGTTGCACCCAAGCTTACCTCCTGCCAGGGCCAACACACTAAGCCTTCTCCTGTGCTGCTCTTGGGGACGGAGTTGAATGCTACATTTTGATGATCAGGTTAGGTGGGCTCCTTTGCCTGCTACAGTTCCTCCCCATTGCCAGGTCTCCGTATAGGTAAAAACCCATTTTCACACTTAAAAAGATTTGATTTTTAATAGTGTTGAACATTTGCCTTCTGCCAATTGATTTTCTTTAATAAGTTTTGAACAGAATAGAGAAAAATGCATGCTACGTAAATCTTGAAGTCACCAGGCATTTTTTAAAATTCACAGATAACTGAGTGTTACTTCCAGATGGGCACTGTCTAGGAAGCACTAGGAAATACTGCTATTACTAATTATCCATAGCTAATAGATTTTACAGGTAGAGCTACTGTAGTAAGCCTACCAAAAAAATGCTATCAACAAAACTAATTTAGAAAGAACAGAAAAGAAATGCTTGTGCCTTACCTGGAAAGATGCACTCTAGGTTTACAAGAAGTGGATGTTGTGAAGATGAAGGACCCTGAAGAGGAGAGCTTTTGTTTCTGTGCTTTTCAGTTCTGCATGCATCAAAAAGCAGAATATAGCCAGTACTTCCTCTTACTGCCTGTGCTTTCCCTTTCTCTTTGAAGATGAATGGCCATCAAGTAAGTCTTTTCTGTATGTTTTTATGGCAGGTTGTCCAGAGTGCAAGCTAGGGGAGAACAGATTCTTTTCAAAACCAGGAGCCCCCATTTACCAGTGCACTGGATGCTGTTTCTCCCGGGCCTATCCCACTCCAATGAGATCCAAGAAGACCATGCTTGTTCCAAAAAACATTACATCAGAAGCAACGTGCTGCGTAGCAAAGGCTTTCACCAAGGTGAGAATGTAAATGAGACCATTTAAAATTATTTTAGAAAGCAATGTGTAAGTGAAGCAGTGAATAGAAAATAATATGTTTTTGCTGGAGGACACTGAGCAGCTATTTGAGGGAAACATCTTTGGTACTTATATAATTTACACTTGTGCTTGTTTGTCGTTTTTTTAAAGAAATTAAAATGTTAACCAGTCCTGACTCTGATATTCAGTTGGGTATGGAAACTGATGCAGTGCCACTGACTTCAGTGAAAGTACTGTGACTCATGATGCATGAACTGGATTTCTTGACCATTCATTTTTAACTCTGCTGGATGCATACCCTCTCCTTAAATGTCACAAAGTGTGGATTTGATTTTAATTAGTCGCTTTCCTTTCTTCTTTCCTGCATAAGCAGGAATCCTCTGAGAATGTGCCTAGTCAATACTATCAATTACATATATGGGAATGAGGGACCAAAACCATCTGTACTCATTAGATTAATTGAGATTGTGTTTACTTTTAATAGTATAACCGGGAGGGAACTGTAAACACGTGCAGCTACTTTGAGCATTTAACAGTCCCATCTGGAAGGTTCTCCTAAAGAGAGATTCTGCTAAAGCTATTTTGGGAGCAATACAGCTCCAGGTGAAGAAATCTTAAATTGATGTAATCAGTGGTGAGCTAGCTGATGCAAAGCCAAGGTAGCTGTCATATGGTGATCTGAATCATGTTCACTGAATGTGCTGATGAGGGGCTCAGTTCAATTACTGGCTCACAGGTTTGATGCCATCTGAGATACCCTGGGGTACTCAAGACATCTGTGTATAGCTGGCAGACACAGGACCCATAAAAGACCTTCTGGAGTGGCAGCTGGGGGCTTGGTGGGATCCCATCTGATGTCTGAAAGGGCAATCAGCCTTTCTGTGTACGCAGCTGGACAGAGCCCTGAGTCTCTGCTGACTGCAGTGTGAGCCCAAATACATGACTTACCTATAGATACCTATATCTGAACACGTTTTAGCTCTTCTCAGTGGAGCATAGATGTTTTTCTAGACCACCAATATTATGCTTGCCCTGAGGCAGGAAATAAAATTTGGCTGAGATTAAAAATAGCTCATAGTGTTCATGCTTTCTGTTTTTATAATCTCCATGTGAAGTACGTTAAGGACACTTCCTGATTTGCCATAGATTGGTTGAGTAACACTTTTTTGAAAAATAGACACTTTAAAATGTGCCAAATTAAGGACACCAGGCATGTTGCTGTTCAAAACCATCTCATTATATTCTCCAAAAGCCACTGATGATGCAGCTTCACAGACTGGCATTCAGAGGCCATTCTAGTTCAAGTACACTTTGGAGCCTGTGTACTGCTTGGGGTTAAGAAAAAGGCTTCAGAAATCTTTTGCTTGAGATTGCAGTTTTAACTGTGTAGCTAATCCTAATTATCTTCTTTCTCATGTGTGTGTTTTCTTTTTTTAAGATTACCCTTAAGGACAATGTGAAGATAGAGAACCACACAGACTGTCACTGCAGTACCTGCTACTATCATAAATCTTAAAGCCTGTCCCTTTGGTAATGATCAAGGACAACGGTGAATGGAATATTTGTTTTTCAGCTTTTATAGCAACGCTGTGTATAATCTTGTGTTTTCTGGTCAAGACACCAAGTAGACTTTTGAATGAGATGGATGGCTGTTTTATTTCCTCTCTGCTTCTTCATGCATTTAAGTAAGTTTAACTATTTCCATTAGGGATTAGATGCAGCACTTGCATGACAACCATAACCTTGATCTGTTTTTAAAATAAACTGTCAGATAAATTGTCAATGTTTCTTGAGGAAAAATGATGATTTCATAGCTTAAAACAACAAAAAAAGAGATTTTGTAGTTTATTTTCAAGTTTGTTTGTTTTTATTTATTTTTCTGGGAGAGGGAGGAAGGAGGAAGAGAGGGGTGGGAAAGTGGGCAGAAAAAGAAACAGTAATTTCCCCTCATTCGTTTAGTGGATTTTTTTTTTTTTTTTTGAACACAACATTTTGTTTTTCTTGCTTCTTCTTTGTTTGCTTTTTTTTTTTTCTTTAACTTGTGGCATAAAGCTTAACAGCAGTCTGTGCGACGTGATCTGCCTTTCTGTGTCATCTTTGATTTTGCTTGGAATTTTATCTTCTTCCGTATTGATAAATGGACGCAGAAGGAGATGTTGTGAAGTGCTATGCAGTGTAGCAGTGCTAGAGGAAAGGCATAGCACATCTGTATTAGCTATTTAACGTGTGGCTGAGCAGCATGGCATAGCGCTTTAGAAATTCTCAAATGCAATGTGCTAGACTGAGATATACAAATTGGAAAGGAAGAGACTTTGTTAGGTCAGAAATGGACCACAGAATATGTATTTAGAATAGATGACCTTCAAGTTGTAAATGTGGATTTTAGAGATAGCACTTGTTTGGTTGCTGTAGGTTGGAGCAGGGCGTCTGGAGGGACTGCTCATGAATCTGAAGCCTGCTTATATGAACATGAAATAAATTAATTCCACTTGTCTTAACCCAAATATCTGGAATGAGAATGTCAGTCCTGCTGCGATCACTGAACACAAAGGCTGTCTCCAAAGGCCTTAAATATATTTGTGGGGTACTTTCCTGCAGCAGATTCTGTGAGGACAGTGGTAGAGATGTACCAAACGCTTCTGATGGAGAAAGGGGAGGGTGCCTTTTGGTGACACTGAGAGCACGGCTGCTCCACCCTGGGGCATGGTGATAGCTGATGTCTGCTGCACTCCTGAATGACAGACCTGAAGGGCTAAGCTGTGATGGGGCCCTGGAGCAGCCCAGGACTGGCAGGGTCTAATAATGGCTTAAATCCACTGTACACCCACTCCTGTCTACTGGAGTGAAAATTCACTGCTGTTTTCTAAGAATACCATAGGGTTTTGTGGCAAAGACTGCTCATGGACAGGGAAGAAAACAAAATTATTCAGCACATGTACAGTAAATTCTGAAAGCCTGATCCCTGCCTAATTCTACCTCTGGTTCAGTCTCATCTCTGGAGACACCAGTCTAGCTCAGTCCTGTGTTGTATTGCAGACTCAGCTGTGCTGTGCCATTCCTAAGAGATGTTTCACCTAATTTACTCCTGGAGAAACTTCAAGTGGTTATTCCAGAATCTGTGGAGGATGGCTCTGCTACTTCTGCTGTTACTAAGCTGGAAAAAAAATCACTCTCCTGGAAAGTTTTTTGTGATATTTTGTCTTTATGTTTGTTTCAGTGTTACTTTTGTTCAAAGGGGAGGTAGTCCAGTAGGGTGGTATTTAGTATGAGTTTAATAACATCAGCAGGAAAGGTTTTCATATTGAGAAGTCTAATTTCTCATTCTGGATCATCACTCAATACATTATGGGAATATATGTCAAGCAGCCACTAAAGCTGACTCACAATTCCAACATGTTGTGCAGTTTTATTAAACATGATTGATGCAGATACTTTCACAGGGGATCTGGATCCTGCCTGGGATTTCTAGGCAATGAGAGAGGAGTGATCTGAAGCTGCAAGCTGATTGCCTTTGAGAATGGCATTGCAATTTCTCATAACTTTGACAGGACTGAAATGGAGAGCAGGGGAACGAACACATTCTCCGAGGCTGCCTTGCAGTGGAGATGTGCCTTTTTGCCCTATGAAACATTTCCTTGGGTGGACACTGACTCAAGTGAGATCCTCCAGCAGCACCTTCTACCTGCTGGTCTATTTGTTCTCATGCTGCACACAAGAGCAGGTTGGTGACATGATAAACTTCTGTTGGCATCTTTTAAACAGCTGCCATCTTTTTCATTGTGAAATCATAGAAATATTGAAAAGTAGTAACAAATTAGAAACCCATGCTTTGAAGAAGACATGGGATGCTGTAGCCCTGTATCATTCATTCTAGAGTACCTACTCTGTTTTTCATTCTCCATGGCTCATTCCCTCTTGCTTGTACAAAACCACTTACTCCTCAGTTTCTCAATCCCTGGGTCCCCCTCCCCTCTGAAGTGATCTTTGCATTAAGGGCTAGCGAAGTGCTTACTGTGAGAGCATGTGGAATGTGTGAGCACTCCTTCATTACCTTATCTGGTTAAAGCCCTTCAGTCCGAAAGAAACACCGCTTAACAAGGAAAGTAATAAATTAAACACTGAGATACACAAACCTAGCAGCAGGTGATAAGGGAGAAAATGACAAAGAGCAGACCCCTTCAGCCCATGATCAATTGGCTGTTACTGACGGGCCCTGGGGTGGTGAAGGGATGGTAGCAGCACTGAGGGTGTTAGTGTTGGCAGCCTGAGACTGCTGAGAAATGGGGAATAAGCATAGGGAGATACCTGAAGGAGGCTTGTGGGGCTGTGCAAAGCTTACTGCGGGTTATCAGGAGGAGCTTACTTAGAGAAAGGGCCAGAGGTGGAAAAAAAGGATAGCAGTGGTCAGGGGGATTGGGGTGAACTAGGGAGGAGCAAGCATGGCAAAACAGAGAAGTGGGTATTGAAGGACCAGCCTGATGTAAGCGAGCTGCCAGTCAATATGCTTTATCTGACCGAGCCCTCTGCTTGATCACTGCACTATACCATCTTCTTATGAAATTCTTTACTCAACTATTTTTTTTTCTGTGTAATCTTACTGTCCTGTGTGCAAGTGCTGCAAAGCCTAAATGCTAGCAGCTGGAAAAGGGATACATATGAGTCCCACATGCCAAAGAGTGGTAGGAGCTGGGGGACAAGGCTGTATGTTTATGTGAATATTTAGTCTGGGTCCTGAGATCTAGAGTCACCGGGAATCCCAGCTCAGAAAGGAGACATTCTGGCCCTGTAGCTTGCAGGATTCAGCAGCCAGCTCTGAGCATAAACTATCAGAATACATTTTTTTGATACTGTTTCAAATCAGGACAGTACTGAATTGTTTATCTGTGCATGTGAGTGGGAAAAGCAAATCCATAGCTAGGAAAGTTATGGTGCTCACTGAGTGAGTTTGTGCGTGGTCAGGGCTAGGAAAAACATTGCTATGTGTCATAAGAAAGCTAATGCAGTTGAGAATGAGTGGTTGAGAAGTTGCTTGGGATATGAATAGGAATAGAAGCTGGAAGGCAAGGTAGACACACACTCATAAGGGCGAAATGCCAAATTTCCAGTAGAAATGGGAAACAGAAAGAAAAGTACGATATAGCTTCCTTGCGTCAGAAAATGGCTGGGACAGAAGGTAAATCAGTTCTATATATTTAAGAGGGGCGTTGAGAGAAGAGATTACAAAATCAGAAGGGACTGATCTCTTGTTTATGCCAATAGCCAGTATGCAGCTTCTGTGTTTCAGCATGAGGATGGAGATAAAATGAAGTCCTTGTCAGTGTGGTTTGTAAGTAGCAATAAATCAGTCAGGCGGATTAAAAATGCTGAAGATCATGTGGGCTGAAGATATAAATGATACGTTTTTACTGTCACAGTGACCTACATAAACCTACATCACCGTGGCCCTAATAACAAATTCATTCTGTGCACAGAGGAGCTCTTTGACAAAGCTCTGTTTGCTGAGGGCTTGTGCCCAGCCTCACTGAAGAGCAGTTTGCTGTGTCCTCAGCAGATCCCTCTCTTTGTGGAGATCTGAAGTATTTACCTATCAATCAAAAAATGTCTAAAACTGAACTAGGGGTTAAAGTGCTGCTCAGGAGCAGATGTGTGGATGGTCAGTGTGGGTGCCTCCCCACTGGAAGATGTAATGATTCAGAGGTATTGCAATTTCCATTCCCTGTCTGACAAGATCAGGAGGGGTGAGCTCTCAGGTGGAAGATAAAGCCTGTGAGCTGTAGGGATTTTAATGAAATGAAATTTCTGACAAGGCCTCCTACTCTTTCCAAGTCTGAGAAGCTGCAAATTAGCAGGAGCCTTCCTTCCCTCATCCTTCAGCCTGTCTAAACAATGATTTTAAACAGCGGTCAGAGAGAAAGGGAAGCTTATCCCAGAATCTTTGCTGGCCAAGCGCAGACTGCATGGCTCTCTTTTGCAGTGGGGTGAAAGAGGGCTGCTCTGATGAGTCTGGAAGACAACTGAATACATTCATGTATAGAAGAAGCCTCCATAATGGGGAGAAGGCCATTTGGCTATGTTAGAGAGTATTGCCATGAAGAAAGAGATATGAAAATAGCTTTAGGAAATATGTAAACACATCTTGTGATGGAATAAAACCAAAAATTTGTTAGTGTCTGGAGGATTCCCCCTTTAAGGGGTTTCCCTATTGCTGTGCAGTTTCCTGTGTTTCTGGTGTATGCTAACTAAACCCAGCAACTTGCTACAGTCACAGACACAACCACTGCTTATGCATCATACATACACTATACATATATGTGCACAGTCACTGTCCTGCCAGACCATTGGACACATTGAGGTATGATAGAAACCAACGTTCTTTTAGTTCAGGGAAACAGCAAAAAAGCAGCTTTTTGGGGGGTGGGAGGTGATAGGGCCTCAGCTTAGTGTGATTTCTTGGGAATTTATTTGATAATTTGTTCTTCAAAATCATCTGTCTCTCTCCACAGTGTGGTTGTTTTAAAAGCATTAAAAATGTCTTTCTGGTCACTGCATTCATCTGTGTAGCCCAAGGATTCTTCCTGACTCTGGCCATATCAGATGCTGCTTCAGGGCAGCATAAGAGGCTGGCCACTTCTTGCAGACATTTCCCCTTGTATCATTTTCAGTACCCACATTGATTCTTGGGAGTATTAGAGAGTTCTTTTTTTCCTTGTCCTTTTTGTTGCTACTCATGGGCTCCTTTTCTATGAATTTATCTAGACCCATTTGAAGCTGCTGCTATTATCTCCCTCCATAACCTCCTGTCACAGTAAGTTACAGAATTGTAAAAAAAGTACCCACTTTAATCTGTTTTAAACTAATCTCCTAGATATTGCTTTCATGATTTTATA